ATCCAAACCAAAACAAACAAACAAAAAATACCAACAAAAGTCTGACCAATAGAATGGAATTGTAAATCCCTAAAATAGAATCCCACATATACAGTCATCTGATTTATGATGCTATCTAGTGCAATGGACAATATTTTTCTCTATAAATAGTCTAGGACATTGGCTATCTATACAATAACAAATATATCTTGGCTTTTATATTCCTCTGTACTTATAAACATAAATTTCAGATAGATTGCAGAACTAAATATATAAGATAAATATTAAAGTTCTTAGTAGAAAACATAGGTGAACGTGTTTGTGACAGAGTAGGTAAAGACGATTTTGACACAAAAAACAGTAATTATAAAAGAGAAACTATTAAGTAGACAATATTAATATTAATAATTACTATTAATCAAAATATGCCTTAAGGGACACGAAGACCAACTCACAGAACAGAATAATTTTCTATTTTGATAGATCCTTAGAGAAATAGATGAAGTAGATGATAGAGTTAGAGAGTAGATAGATGGATATAAAACAAGGAATTCACAACTTGAATACATAAAGATTTCTTACATATCAATAAGGAAGAAAACTCAACATCTTTTTGGATAAAAGACAAACAACAATTCACAAAAAGAGAATACCCACATAACTATTAAACCACTTCATTAGCCATCAGGAAAATGTAAATTAAATACTCAGTGATATATCAGTATATATACAAACAATACAAAATGGAAAATACATGTTGGAAGAACTGACAATTTTCTTGTCTCAGAGTCTTATATACATCAATTACATATGTCTACAATGTTCTAACTGCAACCCTTCACCTGGCTAAATACTCTACACATGTCAACTGAAAGTTCATCCCCTTAGGGAGGAAATCCATGATTATACCATGTACCTTATTTTACCCCTCACATTGCTATTTACTCTGTCATAGCACACAGTTCATTTCCTTATTGAATTGGTCACACTCTAAAATTACTCTGCCACTCACTTATTTAATTGTTGCATTCTCATTTTCAACCTCAAATAAAAAGTTCCAAGAAAGAAGAAACCTTGTTTACATTGTTCAGGAGAGCTAGACCCAAACACTAAATTTCAGATGCCAAACACTGATAAATATTTTAATAAATTAGTGAAAATTATGTTATGTAAAACTAAATACTAGTTATATAATTCAAACATAAATTTTAAAATATGTTATTTTAGGAGCAATGAGAACTGACAATTATTTTGATTTACAGCAATTTTTTCTAAGAATATATAGGCAAAGAATATTAAAGATTACCTCAAACACCTTATTTTACAGATAAGAAAATTCATATCTAAACAGATAAATTTAGCCAGTGTCAGATATTTTAAAATAATAATTTCTAAGTGACTTATTTTTAAATTCTATAAACTTTCTAAAGTAAAAGTACTTAGATTAAAAAAATTCTTATTGGGATTATATACTCTATTATATTCTCTGTTGAACAATTCCCTCTACTTTGGAGATTCTGCCAGAAATTATGAAAGAGCTTTTGGAAAATAAACTATTTGTTAAATGAATAAGAGATAGGATATTATTAACAGAAAAAAAATGAATTGTAAATAAAAATTTATCAAAGAAATAACATTGATTTCCAGGCCAGTAAAACAGTGGGATAGATAGGAAATTGTTTTGTGATTAGTGTGAACATTTCTTATATTTGATATAAATAATAAAATTTTCCAGGTACAAATATTATAGGATTTCATTTCTCAAAGAGTCAAATAATATGAAAATATGTCTTTTGTATTCTCAAGAAAATAAATCTGGAATGATTATAAATTTTTTAAAAAAATTTTTATTTAAGTATAATTAACATACAATATTATATTAGTTTTAGGTGTATAACATAGTGATTTGACATTTATATACTTTACGATATGATCAACATAATAAGTCTAGTAAGAATTTGTCTTTGTAAAAAGTTATTACAGTATTAATGACTATATTCCCTGTGCTCTACATTACATTCCACAGCTTATTTATTTAATAACTGGAACTTTGTTTTTCTTATTCCCCTTCACCTTTTTCACAAATTTTCCCCACCCACCTCGCCTCTGGCAACGAGCAAATTGTTCTCTGTATCTATGAGTCTGTTTCTGTTTTGTTTGTTAATTTGTTTTACTTTTTAGATTCCACATATAAATGAAATTATACACTATTTTTTGTATTTCTCTGTCTAACGTATTTCATTAGACATAATACCCTGGGTTTCATTTTTTAAAATATTTCTGAGCATTTTTTCCTTTCATGTTTTAATCAGCATTATCAAACTACAGTTATAAAACAAAGTCCCTTTCTAGCAGGGAATTTCTGCCTCTGAAAATGCTTTTGTACATTTCCACAACTAAAACTTCTCTGAAGGAAGGCTAATTATAGGCTTCAATATGCACCTGGGTGAAAATTAACTTTTAAGCAGCCTTTAAAATAAATGGTTTTTAATTATTATCATTATGCAAAAACTACATAAATGCCTTTAATTGTACTTATAAAGTAACATTTGCTATAATCACCTCTAATATCCAGGAGCAACCACAGGGTTTTCTTTTTTTTTACTTATTAAAATAAAAATAGAAGGAACTCTCATTATTGATTCACTGGTCATTTTATTTTATTTTACGAGCACAGATATTATAATTGAAATATATCAATGGCTAAAATTTAACATGTATTGAATACTAGTTACTTAAAATTGAACTTAAAATAGCTTGAAAATATGTTTCATTACTGGAAGAAGATTAAATGTCAAGATACAAGCTATTCAAACTATAATGTTGAATTTTATAATTTCATTAGGCTTAGACATTGGGCATAATGTTTTTATAGAAAAGTAAGATTGGACATACACATTTTAAAAGTGAGAATGTTTTATTTATTTAAAAATTATTTGATGCTACTATATTTTTATTCTCTTTTAAGAAATGATATTACTTGAAATTGCTATGTGTGTGTCTGCATATGAGTCAGAGAATAAATTTTGTTTTCACAAAAATTTACTAAAAGATAAAATGCACTACAGGTCTATTTTTCACTTGAACTTAGCCAAACAATTTTTAGAAAACACTTGCAAACAAACCAAAAACACCTTTAAAAGTAGTAGCTTGAGGTAGAAATGACGAAAGGTGTGGAAAAGAAAGAGGCAGTATGCTGTGATAATATAAGGTGGCATGGCAGCTGATTCGACTTTTGTTTTTCTTTTGATATTTTTTTCTCCTTCTCCAGCTACTTTTAATAAGAAATGTGTGAAAGATAATGATATATTTTACAAACATTGTTTGCAAATTTTTATTTTGGGATAGAAAATATATTATTCCAGACAATTATTTAAAAAAAAAAAATAGCTATTAGGATAATGATTAGATTCAATTAAACTCTAAGGTTTCTTTTTAATATTAAATGTAATCACAAATCTAGTAACAAAAATTCTGATGTTAATTTATTGACTCAAATATGCTTAATTATGTTTATAAAATTTAAATATCTAAACTATTGACTATCTTTCTTAGCAAACTTAATGGAAAGTGCAAAGTATGGCTTGGTAGGTATCATAATAATCATTACATTAAAGGATTTGGAGGTAAAAGCTGAGATGTGCGATTATATCTTTGCACTCTGCTTCAGATTATTTCTAGCCTTTGTTTGGAATAGAATTTGTATCCCATTTGTCCTTGATACATCAAACAACTAGTCCTGCATAGAAGTGTAAACTTCCTGGGTTGGCATCAGTCAGAATCTAGTTAAGAAAACAGAAACTACTCTTTGTCTTTCAACAAAGGGATATTAATCACAGATTGATAAAATTAGGTATATGTGGTTTAATGTATTAGTACTTCCTTTAGATTTTTGCATGATTCCATGCTATTTTGCTGAATGGATATTAAGGAGTTAAAGTTAGTTGTTTTCTTCCCCTGAGATATTTTAAAACTATTTTGGGGGGAATGATAACAATGCTTTTAAAGGGCTGTTTTTGTTATTTCTTGAATAATTAACTACATACATTAATAATAAACACCCACAGAATGCATATAGACCTACCTTCACCAAGGATATTTTGTCAAGTATGTGTATAATCTAAGAGCTTTAATGAAGATATTTTCTTATGCATATATCTATATCTATCTACATCTACATCTACATATTTGAGAATTGGAAAGTGTTTAGAAATTAACCAGTCTAAAGAATCCCAATTTAACAATGATGAAAGTGAGAGTTTCTTTTATATATTTAACTGTGTACTTGAAATTTGTAATTTTAGTCATTTCTTTATCAAAATATACATACGTATTCACATACGCACTCTCACACACAGGCTTTGAGAGGACGTAGGAATTTAATGTAAAACTAAAGCAAAAAATCTTTTCACTCTAAATCTCAAAAATCCCCAATGCACTCTCTCTTCATCATCACATATAATCCATTTAAAATGTATATATTCCAATATATATTACGTATAAATAGGATATATATAAATATAAATACACATTATATATATATTTTCAAGTGATTTAATAAATAATGCCTGGAAAATATTTTAATTGTTATACTTTCAGATTGATATCATACAATATCTGTATTAAAAAGGAATAAGTTACATGACTAATTACAAATATTTCATTTTTAATATAGGTAGAATTTTCACAAGAAATTGAATTCTATATTTACTTTAGAATTCATACATTTTAATTGTCTTAAGTGAATAGTGTACAAGATTTAATAAAGTAAGAAAGTCTTATTTAAGGATTAATCTGTTGCAAATATACTGATGCTATTTTCCATTAAGTATATCTACTTTTTCTACTTTTCATTTGCCTCCAGTTTATTATTCCAAATTTAGCTAGATTCTACTATTTTTTATTTTTACTCAGTAAAAATATTCTTTATGAATTTAAATGTGTGTGTGTGTGTGTGTGTGTATATATACATATATATACATATATATATATAGAGAGAGATGAGATCATTTATTTTTTTCTTACAATATGAATGGAATCATTGCTGATTTCCTACGCATATAAGAATTAAATTTCTTCAGATAAATCTTATGTTTCTTTTGTGCCCACAAAGACATCTGGATACTCATCAGAAGTGTAAAAATTCCAACTAGAAGAAAAAAGAAATAATTATCTTTTTTTTTCTTGTTTCTGTGATGGATATAGCAAGTTATATTAGAAAAAAAATTATCATACACAACTTAAAATATTTCTCAAGTGTTACATAGCTTTCTGTAAATTTTCACTCATATTCACTGCCTAGAATAACATATGTTTAATCAATATTTGTTGGTTGAATAAACATAGAAAGTATATAGCAGAGATCAAAATAAATCACATATTTTATATGCTGTTGCCACAAAATACTCCCAAGGATTTTTTTTTTATCTCTTTGCATTTTCAGGAATAGTTTTCATATGCATTTAACATATCTTTATACACATGCACACAAATACATATGACAAACCACATTAATTATGATTCAAATTTTTCATACAGTGGAAGAAAGAATGGATGTAATGGACATAATATCCTTTTTAACACATGGAGTTCATTGTAATTTAATTTCCTTGCATGTGTTAAAATGCCCAGCATTCAAAATGATACTCTCATGCTCCTAACCTTCCCTTCACAGACATTCATGGACACTCGAAGACACAGTACATTCACATGTCTGTGCACATGCACAAGAGAGAGTTTTAAGTGAAATTCATTATCACCACTACTACTTTTTAACTACATTTCCTAGCTTGGATTAGGCCACGATTACATAGAGGTACGTGATAAATAATGTTCCATTATATTTTAAAATTGCTTAAAAATCCAAAAAATAAAAAAATAAAAGTGTAAAAACCTTTTGCACTTACCATGCTTTAGTACTATAGCAACTTGTTCTCAGGAATCACTTCTAATGATACGCTTACTTCAATTATCCATAAACCTGGGTCTTACCTGGCAGTGTTTGTGTCATGACAGTAAAACTAATCCATGATCCAATCTGTTAGATTAAAACATAAATTAACAAATATCTATGGGTAATATTGTAATTTGTTAATCTGTGCCATTAAAAGGATAAATGGAAGCTTAAAACACAGTAGACAAATTATAGCTGGAAACAAATTTCCCTAAAATAATAATTTCATTGTTAAATATGATAAAGTTATAAACAATCCTATAAAACAGTATCATGAGAACATGGAAGACATTGTTTCAAAAATGATGGTAAACTATAAAATCCTAAAACATCTCAAGATATTTTATATGAAAATTGTAAATTTTTATTTAAATATAAATATATACATAAGTATTCTTTTTTCTAAGAAAAAATGTGTTTGAAATGTTCCAATTTCCTATGCCTATAACTTGAATTGAAGTCTATATCATAATTTATATCTCTCTTTATGCTTTATCTATGGCTAAAACTTATATATAATCTATTAAGCTATGATACATATAAATATATAAATGCATGCATTTAGTATATTATCAAATAGAGCTATTTTATTTACCTATATAGATAGCATACCTCATAGGTGTAGTTAGGACATGAAACTAGGAAAAACATCCATGTGAAGGGATTATAATTTGGACTTGGAAAACAGGCATTTGTTCCTTTTAGAAAAGAGTAAAATGTCAGTGATGCTACATATTGCAAATTTAACCATATATTTATTATATAATTTTAAACTTCCTAGATCAACTATATACCACATGAAATGTCATCATATATTTATAGAAACCTATTTCACAAGTTATTTAGAAGAGAATCATTTTTAAATATTTGACCTTTTGACTCAAATAGAATGCCTGTCCTTTTCTGACCATGGCTATAGCTAAGTTGTTGTAAAATTACAGAATACACCATGATAATCAATTCTTTAAGAATTTAAATGAAAAAAATGTATAAATATTACTTTGCATATCATAATAGTTGCAGCAGTATTTCATGCTGAGATTAATATATGTATTTTAACAATTGCACTTTCTATGCTCCTTTAGTGTCAAAAAAGATAATTTAGGTTGAGATTACTGAATACCTCAAACCTCCCTTTCTATTAAATTAGTGAAAATTTGAAGGGAATTTTATAAGGATATAACTTACTGGAGAAAAGTATGAAAATCTCTCATGAGGGGATATCAGTAAATATCAGTATAGTTAATATTTAGAAATACCACATAAATTATTTCTATTCAGCAATCAGGATTGCTATTTACAGCTCTCATTATACTTAGCATATTGTCACTTGATTTTTGTTAGTTACTTTTTGCCTTTCAAACTTTTTCAAGAAACATTTTAGATAACAAATTTATAATGATTTCAAGTTGAACTTTGAGCTGTGACATTTGTAAAAGTAAATGTAAAATATAAAATTACTGTTTATTCTCCATAGCAAGATTTAATTAGATAATATATAAACTAATCTCTTCTAGTTATAATTCTAAAGTCATAAGGAAATGTCACTGTTTTCAAAATTGTGACTATTGTTGAAATATCAAAGTAAAAAATATATTAGGTTCTGGGCAGATTTCATGTACTGCTTATTTCAAGATAAGGAAAAATATGTTTGCCATTTAATATTATAGATTTTCTTGGTAATATTTATGTAAACACCTTTATGTAATGCCTATACAGCCTATAAAAGAAAGAAAATTGAGGAAACTATCAATGTTATAGTAACTGAATTTCAAGGGTGGAAGATGCATACAGATAATGTAGATTAAACCCTCTACTTTATGACTGTTCCAGCCCCGAACATAGTGGATGATCAGGGATCCACAAATACATATTTCTTCCAGATGTAATGTGTAGATTAAAAAACCAATGTGTCTTGTGACACAGACAAAAACATATTTATATAGATATTGTCTCAAGTGTACATAGGTGCTGTTAATTGTAGTAACAGGTAAATTTAAGTATTACCAATTTATATTTACATTCCCATGATATATTTTTTCAATCTATACTTACTATTTATAATAGAGCTTCTATTGAATAAAAGTCTGAAGACTTTTTACATTGCAATGTTGCATAACTTAAATTCTTCAGGCATAACGAGTTTATTCCATGACTGAAGAGAATATTGCTGACAGAGAATCTTCAACTCTTGGCACCACCTATGACTCTTGCCTGGCTGAAAGGAGCATACTCACCCAAGGTCACGCTCACTTTTTGGTATAGTCTTAATCCAGTATTTGATCAATTTGGCAAATTGATGTCTCAATTCAGAAAATATTGATATTTCGTACCAGCTTTATAATGTTCCATACATTCATCTGAGACTCTCTATATTGGTACTATATTGCTTTCAATTTCCTGCCCAAACATTTATTTCTTCCCACTTATAAAATAAAATCACTTCCTTACAAACCTCTGGAATGATAATCTCCATCTCATCATCTTCATCCCAGAATATTAAACCTACAGTAATCGGCACCAGGAGTGGCCCCCAAAGCAGACATTGGAATAACATTTTAGAAATGAATGACCTACGGAAGAGCTTGCAATGAGTACCCCATTATTGATGATAGGTGCAGAACAGATAGCTGCCGGTACAAGGTAGCTGTGCAAGTGTAAAACTGTTTATCAGTGGTGAACTGGTATGTTATAGTGGTGGGGGGAATGCTTAATTTGGTCCAATGGAATTAAGTGATGATTACTATCAACATTCTTGACAAAGGTATCTAAAACTGAAACTGATAATTGACATTGAAGGCAACTGTGAAAACTAGAGAATCTCTTTGGTAGCAATCAAAGAGGTTGTAATCTTTTGTAATGAGAGAAATAGACAGAAAAAGCTGACAACCAGGCCCAGGAAATATTTGCAAGAGTAGTCAAGCTCCAAAGAATATATAAGGCTAATCCAAAGTAGATCCTCTAAGCCAAGGTCATTGTCCACAAAATCTTGGAATATATAGATTTTTGTTAACTCTTTGAGCCTATAGAAGGGGCTTACTCCTCCCTATTAAAAGTTTGCATACCCCCTTGCTTAAAGGTAATACAGAGGCCACTATATTGCAAGAAAATTCCCCCTAGGTCTTCCTCATTTCCCCTTTTAACTTCTATGCTATAGCAAGGATTGTGTCATACTATAACCTACCTGAGGTTATTCTGGGCCTCATAAGAAAAAAAAAGAATTGTGTCCCAATGGAGTTTTAGGACCCAGGCAGCATGAACCAGCGAATTATTAGAATACACATGTGACTGGATTCTGAGGGAGTTTGATAAGAGGGGCAAAAAAAATAAAATTGGATAAGGGTAGGTTTGTGCTGTCGGAGCATTATCCTGGGGTATAGGATTTAATGCCCTGCTAAGATGGTACAAACACACTAACATGCACCTGGAAGCATGAACAAAGCAATAGCCCACAGTAAGTGAGGAAGAAATGTTATAATTCCCATGGCAGGCAGAGAAAGAAGGTGTTTGACTTAGAATAGTGGAGATTCTAGAGTAGATAGTCTAAATAAGGCTGAAAAGGAAAGTTCCCTTTTCATGGGAGGAAAATTTTTTCCCATGCTCCATATCCCCATAATCTTTCTCATGTTCTGTGGAAGGACCTTGATGATACACTATTTTCCAAAGCTATAAGGAATGTGTTAATGAAAAGGCACAACCATCACTAAGATTAGCATTGGCTTGCTATAGTTCCAGGCTGACTGAAAATGATGTCATCTTAGAACTGAGACGACTAGTTTAAAGGATTTAAAGGATCCCATCATTCCCAAGTCAAAGCAGTTCTAGTTCCAGAATGAGTGATAAATTCAGAAGAGGCTTGATCCACAAAAAGTTATGGCTAGTTAAAAGAGCACAATGTTCCTGGAGGCTAGATAGATGGATACTAGACAAAGCTATTTCTGTATTTAGACAAACAAAATAATTTAGAATAGTCCAAAAGACTTGAGACAGCTAGTTCAATATAAAAATCACTATTCTTTTCCCAGTTCTTGGACTTGAACCAGTTGTAAGACACTAAACTCTAATAGACAAACAGTCTAGGACCTCAGGAAGAAAGACCCTGCAACATCAGAACAAGTATACATAATAATGATTCTCACATTACATCACTGAAATAACTTCACTAAATGATCTATGTTCATTTGTTTGGGTAACTGTACACTAGTGAAAATGGAATATCCCCCCATTTCCAGGGCTGTTAGCACAATGGGTCCACAAGATCAAAGTGATCATTTCCCCAGACACTGAATGAATATTTGGAGCACACATACTTTGTAATTTGCACGGCCCTCACACTGATTTTTTGGCCTTTGGGGCATGAGCTATTGCAGTGAGTAAAATCAAGTGGAAGCCTCTGAAATTGCTCCCATTTTTATGTAAATATAAAAAAAAAATGTTGTATGCCAGCAGGAGATTAGTGCCATATTTAAGATATAAAGTATACTTGGGCGATATTCTCCATTATATAACCATTTAATTACTTATTCTAGGCCTGTAAAAGCAATATGTATTTTAGAGGATGATAGTGGAGTGCTGTGAAATTAATCAAACATTATCCACTTTTGCAATTGAATACCAGATAAGGTGTATTTGCTAAAGCAGATTAACCTTGTCTTGTGTTTATAGATATGCCACTGAGTTGACAAATATTTTTGTTGTTGTTGTTTTGTTTGGTTGGTTAGTTGTTGTTTTTTTTTCCCCCATCTCTAGTAGAAAAGGGGATCAGAATAGTTTACTTTTAAAAAAATGGACAATAGTATACATTTTCAATCTTTTTCTAAGATGATATTAATATTCCCACCTTCTGTCATAAAATAGCTTAAGGTGACCCATACGAGTTAGACATCTCACTGAAAATCCACTCTTGCTGGATGAGTAAGAAGTGACTAGAATGTTGGAGACCTTATTAAGACATGTGTGGTTCCCAGGAGGTATGCAGGGGGAGACAAATTAACACCACAAAGTTTTAGAAGCCTATCATCAGTAAGATGTTTAGGGGTCAAATAATTGTGAGTCATCCCCTTCAAAAGCAGAGAAAATATATTACAATTTGTACCTCCCACCATTAAGAAGGAAACAAAATGCCTGTAGGCCTCTTCTATTAGAAAGGTACTATATTACTCACCAGGGAAATCTGCTTTGAACTATACACCATGTAGCACAAAAAGCAACAGTAGTTTAGTAGAGCTCAAGGCAGAAAATTGCAGCAGGCTCAAGTAAGTGTTAGTGCAAGCAATCCTGCACTTGGGCTTTATAATCAGGTAGACTCTCTATATGAAATCTATTAATGGTGGGAAAAGATAATGTGTGGGACTTATAGCAATGAGATAATCACAATGCTGAACCCTGGTATTCTGGAGCAAGGTCATGCCATTCGTAGTGGAGAATTATAGTTATTTGAAAAAATAGTCCTGGAATGCTATTGAATCCTGGTTAAGATTAAGATCCCACAACAGGGACACCGTTGGCCCATATGGTCCTAAGAATACATCATAAGCTGAGTCATAGGTTGAGTGAGACCAGCAATAATTCATTGCAAGATGAATGTGGTATATTCAGAGTGAAACGTTAGGACAATAGAGTACAAGCAAGCTGCATCGGCAGGTATTCTGGACACAATATTATCCACCATTGTCAAACTAATGTGTTCCTTTCAACTTAAACATATGGCCACTTTAGGTATACTGTAAGACAAGCTGAAAAAATGAGGATGAGACTGAGCTTGTTTGGTTCAGGGATGAGTTGTCCGGTACATGAGTGTAAGCTGAAAATGCATAGCAGCTGCATTATAGTCACATTCAAGGGTCATCTTAAAAAGTGAAGAGTTGAGATTCTCCCAATGGACAGAATTTCTAGAGTTGAAAGAGTATTCAAGGCTACGATATACACTGAATTGCATGCATTGTCATACGAAAAAAAACAAGACAAGAATGTCTGTGAATATAAGTGTGGACATGAAGTGTGAAGATCTTTATATCACATGTTAACAGCCAACAGGGAGCACGTATGATGAAAGAAACAATAAACAACAGGTAGAAAAGATAACTCAGCCAGTTTATGTCAGCCGACATCTGTAATGGACTACTCTGTTGCTGGTAAATGGATGCATGAGTGGAGCATGGTGGCAGGGGGGAAAGCTATGCTTGGGCTCCATACCTTGGGTTCCCACTTACCAGAGTAGATCTAGCAACTACTGCTGCCAAGTATCCAACAGTGAAACCATAATAAGACACCATTCTTCACAGTGATGGACTAGGTAATTTATTGGACCCCATCTATTCTGAAAGGGGGTAGCAATTCATATGTGCAAGAAATGACACACACTCTGGGAATGGTTTTTCCTATCTTTCCTTTAGGTCCTGAGTCAGTCCTATTATATGAAGGTGAATACAATATTTGATGAATTAACACGTATCCTCCATAACATCCTATTAGTTCAAGGGATCCACTTTCAAAGAGAAAGTACAAGAATGGGTTCATAACCATAGGAACTTCTCATATGAAATCCAATATCATCAAGAAATTGCCAATCTGATGGATTGAGAGACTGGTCTGATGAAGGCACAGCTAAGATGCTGACTTAGAGACAAGATATACCTTTAAATCAAATATAAACCTTATCTTATAGTTGAATGGGGATCTTCCTGTGACCCATGACAAGAACATCCCTCATCTGTAAAGAAGGATCTTAAAGCGTGAAGACCTTGGTATTGCGAGTACAGAAGCACTATCGTTGGCAATGTAATCAACCTTAATCATAAAGAGGAGGTACATCTGCTGTTATACAGTAGGATCAGGAGAGTATATTTTGCCTGTCATACTTGCACACCTCTTGGTATTCTGATGACCCATGGAAATCTATGTCCTGATAAGAACATAGAGACATAATCTCAGATCTTCAAGATGAGGGTCTACATTATGCTAACAGCTAATCCCTGAGATGTTAAATGTGCCAGTTGAAGGTAAAAGGAATCTAGGAGTTTCTGGAGGAGGAAAATGGTGCAAATTAGTTATACCAAGACCATATGCAGTGGTGAAGGCTGTGTAATTTCCCACTAACATGTCTCTTTTAAATTTCCCCTGGAAAGAAAAGCCCACTAATATCCTGGTCGGGTTGCTCTTAAGAAGTATACAAAGAAGTAGATCTGTGAAGTAAAAGAGGAGACTGTGATGGATGCTGTGATACGTCGCCAAAATCCCCATCAGGAATGCTGAATTTCTTCCATAACTGCTGGAGGTGCTGGTAACTGAAAGCTTTCAATGGTCAGATCTTCTGAAAGGATGGCCTTGATTATAGATAGCTGCCTTATTCTAGGTCATTCGCCCTTCCCAGTGAGATCCAAATACAGTTTACCTTTTCTATAACTACTCCAACTTTGGAAAACTCTACAAGGTTATCCTAGCCTCAGGTCTGTCTATAGAATTGACTGAGACCATCATTAAGACAGCATCAAAGCTCATTCTCCTATTGAGCACAATTCTCTTTCCTTCCCTTTTTATTCATACTTTGTAATAAGGCCCTTTTAAACTTATTCTATATCAAACCACGTCTTCTGGGGAACACATTTTGTGACATCCCGTTTAACAATCAATATTAAATGGTCCACCTATACATAATTCATGCCTAAAGCAAACCTAAGAGATAGATATTAATAAAAGCTTCAGTTAATATGTAAGTGGGGAAATAAAAATCCAAGGTCAGCAGAGACCCATTTGGAGCTGACACAGGAACTCATAGTTAGATAATGATTTTATGTAAAGAAAAAGAATGTTTTGAGTGTGTAGATATCTAGAGTTCATGATCAAAACATGAAAATCTACCCTGCGAAAATGTCTGAGAGTCAATACATTAGGGCATTGAATATGGAGAACTGAAATGAAATAATTTGAAAGTAATGAAGCCAGAGGTTTTTATATCAGAAGGCATTGCTTCCAAAAGAGGGGATACTAATATAGGAAGGATGAGAGATAATGAAGGTGCAGACGTGTAGTTAGCGTTTTCCTTCTGTTCTTCCTCAAGTGAAACAGTGAAGAATCGCAGGTCATTGAGATTTTGAAAGATTTATTAAAAGTATATTTTAGAATGACAATGCCCCAAGGAGACACATAGAGAAAGACCAAGCATGCCCCAAGGAGGTACATGGTCCCCGTGCAGTAACCAACACAAAGGAGACACAAAAAGGGCCCAGAAGGGCAAAAAAATGACCCAGAAGTGATAATGTCTGCCTTATATTTGGGCCATGATGGGGGATTCCAAAGGCATTTCTAGGTGATTGGTAAGTGAGGCCATTTTGATTGATATCTGGCTGCTATATAACTCTTTGCCTAGTGCGCATGTGCATACCCAGAATTCTGCTATCATTGGGGTGTTCTTTGGGTGGTATCTAAGCTGGACCCCTATTCCTTTGTTTCCCTGTCGCTCATGTCTGACAGGCTATCTAGCATTATATAGTTTTAAATATCCATATATATAATTATATAACTTATGGTCATTAATACTCAAAAAGTTAAGTAGTTATCAGAATATTATTTAATGTTATAGTAAGAAACATTATTATATTAAGCATTTTTCATGTTTGAAAACATTCTAATGTAATAAATTTCATTTGTAATTCTATATATTTCATTATATAGAAAAATATTTCTGAAAAGTGGTTCATATACCTCACCAGCCTGCCAGAAATTTGCAAAGCAAAAATATAATGTTAAGAAATTCAGGTAGACATTAAAACACACTTGAAAAGACACATATGCCTTTATATTTTCAGCTGAGTTAATAACATGAAGTCCAAGTGTTGACTATTACTTTTTGAAATGTACAATTAAATTATGTATTGTGTACAATAAACAGTTCTAAATTTTTGCCTATAATTGAACCTGAATGGAAAGAATTACCAAAATACCTTTAAGTGATATAAACTCTAAATGTTTTCAACTATTTTTAGCTAACTATCAAATTTCAAGTGCTCTCCCAGCATTGCTTATATCAACCATCATGCAAATTAGATCAAGTTTGAGCCCTAACCTAAGTAAAATCTAAGTAATCTGAATATTCAGTGGATCTCATACTGCTTTATGCCTCAATCATGTGTTTGATTTTTTACATTTTTAAGTAAGATTGTTGTTTGGGGAGAGTGCGTGGGAGGAGTGTGGATGTGCACACGCACACTTCATTTTAGAAAAACCACTATTAGGAAATATGATTTTGTTCAAATATTTGGAAAATTTAGGTATTAAAAGATAGATTGGTGCATACTATCTTAAATGTTTCCAATTATTGCTATTTCCCTTTTTAAAAATTGTTGATTTTAAGACTTTTACAAATAATAACATAATCTACTCTAAAGAAAATCAAAAATAAAAGGGACTTACCTGTGTGATTGGGATGAGCCAACACTACATTGATGAAATGATTTCCAGCTTCACAGATCTGAAAAACATTTTATATATTTTTAGTATGATGTACCCGTATCTCTTTAAAAATGTATTCTGTAGATATATAAATATCCCTGTAATATATTAATCCCTAAGATTCAATAGAAATATTATTACTATAATTGTAAGGAGAGCAAATTTGATATTATAACAATAAAAGAAGCTGTTTGTGGGCATATATAGAATCAGAATAATGAGTCACATTGAGTTAGAAATTCTGAAGATATTCTTGACCCCATTTTATAACTGGGTTCAAATTGACTGATTAGACAGGTTGTACTGATTATCTGCTTTGTACTTGTTATAGTGGGTAACTTTTTATGTCATAAAGAGGTAAGTCATGATGCTAAAAATAAACTTGGCATAGGTTTACATAGATTTACATATTCTAAATGTTTTGACACAGAAGCACCCCTCTACTGTAAGGTTGGTAGATTGATTCCTAGCCAGTTTCAGCTCAATTTAGAAAATCAATTTTAAATATTACTGTCCCACAAAGACACTTGCTGCTTGTCTGTCACCTGACCCCTTGTTAATGTATACGCTACTAGTTGTCCCTGTTAATAGGCTGCTATGACCCGCTAAGAAGCTCCAGCCTTACCAACACCTCCTGAGGCTAATGCTCCCAATTTGCAACATATAATTTTGGAAGATAAGACCCTTTTCTTTGTCTGCCACATATACATTATTCTAATTAACACAAAGTATGCATTCGACATATAAAGACAGTGTTATTAATAACAAGTTATGTTATCCAAAATCTTTGTTTAGAGTTGTTCAATTTTTAACCATAATATATCCCATAAATTCAGTGCCCTTTTAACTCAGTACCTTTAATGCTATTGATCTCTTAAAATACATCTGATTTTATTCTTTTTATTTCAGCAATTTTTGAATGCACTTCTTCACATATAACAATATTTCTATAATTGTAGAAGAAATTATTTATATACAGATATGGTTAAAGTTCCCTCTTTTGGTTGGATGGACTCGTGTTCTAATCCTGAATCTTTCACTTTCTCTTTGTTAGAAATTAAGTAATTTAGATATTTGAAATTCCATTCTTTCACCTAAATGTAAATATTAATTCCTGTCTCATAAGTATTTTATAATGATAAATAAAATCAAGTACTGTCATTAATTTCTCAATTAAATTATTATAATTTTTGTTAACAGTGTAATCAATAAAATCTCCAGAAAACTACTCTACATAAATCTCACTTCTCTAAAGTTCTATCTCACACATTGTGAACACTACAAACCACTTAATTACAAAACTGCTTTATTTATCAAGAACAAGATGGTTTAGATTTAAAAAGCCACTAGGCTTTGAATGTCCTTAATACTACGAACTGTAGAATAAAAATAGTAAGATGGTAAATTTTATGTTATTTTTTTTCTATCACAATTAAAAATTTTTTAATTGCTAGGTATGTTTTTAAATGAGAATAAACTTTAGAATGATAAATGATGAAAATTCAAATAGACTTTACATTTTGATACATAGGTGTGGCTTAAAGTAAATTAATAATGTTCACGTGCTTTTTCAAATAATCTGTTGAGTAATTTGACTACTTGTTGCTTCACATTAGCATTTATTTGAATAATAATAACAGGGTGTTTATGATTCAGTAATCCATTCTGTATTCTTCAGAGTAATCATTATATGGATAAATATGAAATATGAAATTGTCAGATAATATAATTGAATCATAAAGTTTACATGTGAATAGCACTGTTTTCTTGAATTTTGATTTAGAAAGTTAATAAAAATATTTTTACTTTTTTCAGCATTCTCTATGCCATCTCTGACATTTACATTTATTTTTTCAGTACTACTAAATATTTAACAATATAGAGTGTGGGGATGTCAAATTAATAGTCCACAAAAGACTTTAGTTAATATATTAGAGGTGATGTGTCATATATCACATTGTGTTCTACAACTTTTTTTCTGAAAATATCCTCCATTAAATCCCAGTATACACAGATTAAAAGATATGATTGGATAAGAATACATAAAATTTTTGCATTAAAGATGTTTATTGTTTATTACTAGATACTATGCCTATAGTATGTTGCTATTGTGACAAAGATGCCAATGACCAATAACCAAAATAAGGAGTTAGAGGGAGGGCTATTGCAGATATCCACTTTTATATAATTTATATAATTGTCTTTCTTCCAAGCTTCATCAAATTAAGCTTACTCTACTTTAAATAAATGAAAATGAAGTTTTCATAGAACAAAATCCAAACACCCTAATATAGAATTTGTAGCTATCAACTAGTCAGGCTCTGCCATTCTGTCTTAGTGAAGTCTTTTTTGATTTTCACAGCTAAAACAAGTAATCTTTATTCTATAATCTCATAACATATTGATAGGAATGAGAAATATCTATTATATTCCTCTATATATCTGTTCCTCTCACAGTTTTATATGTATTATTATTAATTATTGACACAGCTAATATTTTATAATTTTATTATTTGAGCAATATGATAATCATTTTATTAATTTATTTTAAATACTATATAATCAGCTAAAATATTTCTAAAACTTGTCATCTGGTTTGTTTTGCATTTCAGTTATTTTTATTTTTTTTCTATTTATAATGATAATAATAGTTATTATAACTTTTGTTTCATTTATTTTACCTGAATCAATATTTCAAGAATAAGGAAAATCCTGGCCAAAGACATGATTACAGAAGGATTTACCTGTATCAGCTATTCTGGGTCTTAAGGGATAAGACATATTCACAAGGAATGGTACACTAGTTGATCATTTAAGCCAATATTATACTATCTCAGCATTCAGAAATCTTATAACTTATGATTCATGACTATGCTCCTAAAATTATAGAACTTATTCTAATTCTTAATTTCTACTCATTTATTATAAAACTCATTTATATGCATTTCTATTAAAATAATGATAACATGCATTGTGTTTCAGAAGAAACATGTTCAGTATGTTAACTAAAGGTTTAAAAATACATTTTTTCATTAAGACTTAATTTTTTAGATCAGTTTAAAGTTTACAGCAAAATTGATGGAAAGGTAGAGAGATTTCCAACATACTCCCTGCCACCATACCTGCACAGCCTCTCCCATTATCAGTATCCCCTACCAGAGTGCTTCCTGTTCATCTTTCTCCCTCCAACTCTTGGCGATCACTGATATTTTTTACTGTCTCCACAGTTCTGCCTTTTCCAAAATGTGATATATTTGGAATTATACAGGATGTAGCCTTTTTCACGTTGATCCATTTTACTTATTAATATACATTTAAGGTTCTTCCATGTGTTTTCATGGACTGATAGCTCATTTCTCTTTATCATTTAATATTATTCAACTGTCAAGTTGAAATGTAGATTATTTACTCATTCACCTACAAGGGCATCTTGGTTGTTTCCAAGATTTAACAGTTATGAATAAGGTTGCTATAAATATCCATGTGCAGGGTTTTGTGTAGACATGTTTTTAACTTCTTTGGGTAAAAATCAAGGAGTGTGATTACTGCATCATATAATAAGAATGTATTTAGTTTTGCAAGAAATTGGCAAACTTCTTTTAAACTGGCTATTCCATTGTGCATTTCCACTAGCAATAAACCAGAGTTCCTACTGCTCCACATTCTCTCCAGCATTTGATGTTGTCAGTGTTCTGGATTTGGCATTCTGATAGATATACATTGGTATCTCATCGTTATTTTAATTTCATTTACCTGTTCTATGCCCAAGGTCCTTCTCAGCTAAATGTTACAAGAAAAGTTGTGACTACTTGATGAGAGTTTAATTTATTACTTCTCTAAGAATATTTGCATTTTAATAAAAAACTTGATCTAAATGATTGGATAACTAATGTTGAGACTGAAAACACAGAGTTAAAACCAGGGAGAAGAGTTATTTTCAGTCCTTTGCAAATATATATTATTGTCTTTTCCTCCCATTTCCTACATTATTGAGAAGACAGTAAGAAAGACAAGAAAAAAATCATTTTTCTTGTGAAATTTTCAATATACATAGTTTAGCAAAAACCATAATTGCTTCTAGAGAGTAAATATAAAGTTGAGAGGAAAAGTGGATAAGGGAAACAAAATTATCTTTTCAAAATAATAAAATATTAAAAATTATAAAATATATTTTGTTTTGCAATTATGATTTTGGTATTTTTATTTGTTGCTTTGTTGGAAGAGTTGGGGTCAGAGGATGAAGAGGGGTCATAGAAATATGAAGAGGCTGGATTATAGTGTGTCTTCACAATATTTATAGCAGAAAGGCAAAGTTATATCTAAAAGTTGTAAGGAAAGACATTCTAATGTCTTTATCAATATTTGGTTATACTTTGTTTTTTTTTCCTTATAAACTTTGTGATACTAGAACATATTTGAAAAAACCAAGTTGTGTTGAAAATCAGAAAGACTTTACACAAAAGGAGAGGTAATAAAATACTTGTCAGAATAAATATAGCATAAACATGGCAAAACTCAAAGATTTTCCACAACACACTATTACCTAACTTGTAATACATTAGGTATGCATTGTAAAGTGTGTGTTTTTGCTTACCATATATATTGTTTAGTATATTAGGAAACTCAGAATATCAATAGAAAGAAAACAGAGGAAGCAGAAGAATTTTAATTGCTAATGATTAGTCAATTGGATGATTCACACATTAGTAATGAAAAATTAACTATAATCATATTTAACACGGTTCTAATATATCTTCTTCCTACCAGGTGATAATCTGGCTCTACATAACAACAGAAGTTAACCAACTTTTTTTTTTTTTTTTGAGATTAGTCAAAAATTGTGAAAATGGGAATGATACTCCTTCCAACTTTATGTTCCTTAATGGAAGGCAGAGGTGCTTCATGAAGTGGTGGTTTTTGTGTAGCTTTCTTTTTTTTAGTTTAAAACCTAGCAAAGTACTAATCATAAATTAAGGGGAGGGAGGGGAAACCAGAATGCTTTGGTTAGAGTCTCAGCTGAGTGCATTTTATGTGTTTAACCAAAACACTCAAATCTGAATTTGAAATATTTAGTTATCACTTCATTCAAGTTAGAGAAACTCGGACCCATTGAGTCTGGTGGTTAGATTAAATGCCCTTTGTACAACAAAATTGTGCCAAATTTTGCCTCCTCAAAGTTTTTTGAATGCACCTATCACTTAGAAGTGATAAGAAAACACAAGGGCAATTGTGTTATTTAATACTCTATATTTTATCATTTAACAAGGTTTTCTAAAGTTGGTTTTATTTTATGGTCCACATTTATATGAAATTATACACACACACACACACACACACACACACACAATTATAATTCTCTCTTCTGTTCCCTCTGTTTTCTTTCTATTGCTATTCTGAGTTTCCTAATACACTAAACAAAATATATTGTAAGCAGAAAAAAGACACTTTATGATGCATACCTAATGTATTAGAAAGTTAGGTGATAACACCTTGTAAAAAATCTTTTGAGTTTTGCTGTGTTTACACTGTATTCTGAGAAGTATTTTATCACCTCTTCTTTTATGTAAAGTCTTTCTGACTTTCAACACAATTTGGTTTCCACACTATATATACGTAGATAGATATATATGTACATGAAAGATGCTGACTGAATTGTTAACTATGATTTCCTCTAAGAATGGAATTTTGCATTATTTAATATTTCTTGGCGTTTCTATATATTATTTTTCTAATGGAAAAATTAAATAAAGGTATTTTCATTATGGGAGAACAAACCAGTGCATTCTTTGAGGCCTACTGTATTTGCACGTTCTCTGGGAAGCTCTTTGACTCATTCTTCATCCCACACCCTGATTAGAACGAAAACCTCACGCCTTCATAGCTCTTGGAATAGCTCTGTCATTACCATTCTCTTAAGCCTCTGTTTTATTTATTTATTTTTCCTTCAGTAATTGCTGAGTAAAATCAACTTTAAATGAAAGAAATCATTTTTTTTCTTATGTTAAGAGTACATAAATCAATAAATGAAGAACAGGAAATTTTGTGAACATAACATTTTGTTAGCAGAAAACTAGCATTTGCAATTAGACATTTCTAGTTGAATTTTACATTATACAATTACATTCACAATGATATGATAATCTTGTATTAGAATTAAAATCAATTCCTAAAACATACCTTAATATCATATTTTGTTTATGAAAATTGTGTCTTATCTACATTGATCATTATTAAGAAATTACAGGGTTAACAGATGTTTTTAATTGATCACAATTTCCAATTTTAAGAGTCACACTGGTCCATCTGTCTCATTTTCAAATTTCTACTTGTGTTGGAAATCAATTACATTCAAAATTTTTACTGTTAAATAAGGTTTTCCCGTATACTCAATACAATCTATAATTAAAAGTACAGTTTTTTTTGTCTTAATTTAAGTTTATGATTGTAACAGACAATATTATGTACTTAGAAATGTGGAATTAAAATTTTGTCGCATTTACTTAATACATCTGTACTGGACATAGTCTATGCTGCTATTTATCAGTATTTGTGTAATTTGGCTTCTCGGCCTTTGCAAAACAGCAGCTGTAATAAAATTTTACTATTTACCTAATTTTTAATTATTGTTATTATGAATTTCACCATGGGAGATGTATAAAATAGCATCAATTGATAAAGACATGTGTCATAAAGAAGCATTAGTATCTTAAGGAGGCAGAATTTTTAAAAGTCTTTGGAAGAAAATGTATATTGAAAACTAGTAGAATATCGTTTGTAGCCTTTTTTCACTTTTTAAGAAAAATATTATGATATAATGTTTTAAAAGCTACAACTTAAAACAAAAAACAAACAAAAAAAAAACCCTTTATTCTAGAGCCATGAGTTCATAGCCATACAACATTTGACAAAAGGGAAGAAATCAAGAGTATTATATAAAATAGAAGCTGTGTAAATACTTACACAGGAATAAATAATAATAAACAAATTGCAAAAAAAGTAGTAGCAGATGAAATCATAAGGAGGAGAAGAATGAAACAATCAGATATCAATATGAAAACATCTAAATAAAGACCAAATAGAAAAGACCACATGATATTGAAAATAAATTTAAAATTGGAAAAAATTTTATTTTTTTAATTTTACTATATTTAACATAATTCTGATCATTCTTCATAGTTGAGTAGAAAATTTTAGTTAAAAGATTTAGAGAGCTATGACTCGATTATGGGAAGTTATTTGATTTACTTCAATTAATATTGTTATGTATATTATCAATGTAAAAACAGATATTATCTGGATGGCAAATCCTCAAATAAAATCTGTTTTGATTTTTTAACAATACCACAATTAGAGCATGAATAGCAAACATTACAAATAATACATACCAGAAAATTTATAGCAGATATTGTGACTTGCCTGTTTCCAAATGCTAGAAAGGGGGAAAAGATGTTATGTGAATACTCATATTTTGGATTGTCACACTATACACAGAATTCAGGCAAGGTTTATTGGATATCACTATCTTCTAATCAAAAGTAATATGTCATATGTAATTGGCCTTTTTGGATGATACTTTTGCAATCTAAAAATATGTAAATATTTTTGCTTTCCATATATACTTTACTTTTAAAAACCTATGATATTTAGAATACAAATGGAATCTATTTTTAATTTGTATTATTAAACTCTTTGAAGTCAGATTTAATCTTGTTTGCACTTTCAAAGCACCTAAGTAGTATGGCTTAACATATAATGGCATCCAATAATATCTCTGATTTTTTAATGTTTAACATTAAAAAGAAAAATACTAATGATTTTTTTTTATTTTTGTACTGGTTTGTAATAGGCAATATTTTAAGTATTTTATATTTATATTTATATAAAAACAAACATATGAAGCAAGTATTATTCTTCTCACCTCTAAATAAACAAAAATATAGGTTACATAAATTCTCAAATCGTATAAAGAGTAATGGATAAAATGGAATTTAATACAGCGTCCTAAGGTCACCTTGCTCATAGTAGAAAAGTTGGAATATACAAAAATACTAAAATATAGAATTATTTGATAAGTTCATCATCTGTATTAACCATTTCTTTTTTTCTAGTTAATGTTAGTAGGTATACATGCAACTTAATATGGGATTAGTTAAGAAGAAATTCTACATACATGGTGGTGTATAGCATGGGTGATTAATGTAGTAGGCAATCCAAGAAGTGAATCCCCAATAAAAGGCACAGCCCTACAAATAACACAAAATAAAAGTTAGGTAATATATATCACATAATTGTAAACCACACACACATAGTTCGACATGCAAAATGTAGCATAAATTTTCTAAGCTAGATAAATTCAATGCTTCTTCACCCAATATATTAGCATTTTAAAACTACTTGTTTAATATCATTCAAGAAATGCATTCCTTTGCTCAACCCTTATTAATATAAATAAATATTAAAAATATATGGCATGTATAACAGTATATTTTAGAAATACTTTTTAAGAATGGTTTGTCTATCAAGTAAGAAATAAGAATGAAGTAATAAAATAATAAACTATTTATTAGATAAGATATATTAATAATCATTTCCCAAAAATAAATGAATAAAAGAATTAATTATTTAATCGTTAGTAATTCATTTTGATTGATTAGAAAGGGCAATGGCCTGGTTTTAGAAGTCCTAGGCTATAATACTGATCTTGTACTATACGATAAATTTTAACACCTTCTGTCAAAAGAGAAGGTAGTCTAAATGATTTCTGAGGTTTCTCAGAGTTCTAGTGTTCACTATTTCATTATAATGACAACAACAGAATGGCTTTCTTGTTCAGATTTTTAAAAAATAGATATTTGCAAAAAATAGAAAAATTTTAATAAGGACATGATATTGAAAATAAATTTTAAATGGGAAAACAATTTAAATAAATTTTGCTTTGAATTGGAAAATTGAATTGTGACATGTTATTTAAATTCAGAAAATTTTCTATTTTCTTGATGGTTGATAACTGTTGCATTTGCCATTTCAAAGAGCAAAGATACGGTCATACACTGACAACTATCATTAATATGGGTGTGTGGTATCATTATTTTAATCACACAGATGTATATTTATAGGAGGGCTCATGGATGAGATTTTTTTTTTTTTCAAAAGGCACTTAAAGAATCTGAATTCAATGCTAAGTATTTCCTAAATAAAAGGTGCCTGAGTATATATACCTTGTAACATTAGATCTTGGTAAATCTGTCTATGTAGAGTTATTGGTTGAAGGCAACTCCAAAGAAATATGTCACCTAGGAAATGGTATGTCACAACAGAATGTTTAATATATGCTGATAGTTGAACAACAATAACAAAAAAAATAGACGAGGGAAATAAACATGATGGAATTATTTTGCAGATGATCCCAAATGCAAAATTTCTCAATAATAATTAAAATTACTAAACTTATCAAACCTCACCTGTATCAAATTTTTCAAAGGTGTATGTCCTGCAGAAACTTTGTGAACAAATAAGGTTTCCAGAAGATATCGGATATAGTGTATACAGTGACAGAAGCAAGCCAAGCTAGGAAGAAAATAAAACATAAACATTAAGTTTCCTTCAAAAAATCTGTCTTGCCTTATGCATAAGATGTTTTCATTTCTTTTTTAGTTTATTATGATACCCTATATTAGGAAATATTATTTCCAGTAACCAAAACACAAGTGTTACTTTTAATATTTTTATCCTATAAATTGTCTAAATTTATTTAATAATAAAAGATTGTCACAACAGCCTCTCTATAAATTTACTTCTGATGACACTAGAAATATATTATAATGTCAGTCATAAACTGTATGCTCACACCTGCTCCAGGAATATATATGAATATAATAATTGCAAATGTGCTCATATCAAAATGTCTCTAAATTAAAGTAGATAATTTACAAGTTTTAAAAATTTTCAAAACCTACTTAGAATACATTTGACATTTTATTATATTCAGAGTAACTTTTTCATTGTCTGGTTGTCCTTTAGCAAGTACTATAAATTAAAAGTTTGAATTTCATTTTCTGTGAAGCCAGTGCAACTTGTGTTTTATTTCATTAGTTTTATTTATTTATTTTTTTTGCCAATTTAACATATTCTAGTATTTTTGTTGATGCTTTGTGTTTGTTTTTGTTGCTATTGTTTTAAGTTGCCGCCTCTCCTTGTCATTTATTTAACTACTATTATAAAAATAAATGTCAAATGTGATTTACAAAAGTATATTTTTATACTTAAAAATATTTTCCATTAACATGTGTGCCTATTTTGTTATAAGTAAAAATGTAAAATTTCAAAAACATTAGCTGCTATTCAAGAAAATCATTGTGGATCAAAGACTGCATACTCCAATCAATAAACATTGATAAAATAAAACATTGAGTCTCCATTGGGAGTTTATTTTAACATAAATGAATTAATTCTTTCTGCTATAAATAATAATGACTTTAAGAAAAACAAACTGATAGACAAATACAAACCCATCTGGCTAAGTCATCAGAGAATTTATCGTTATTTGTTAATTCATAAATATATAATTGTGCACCTATTATAGAAGAGACATGTTCTATGTGATGTGTGTATCTACGAATAATAGACAACCTTCCCCCAAACAATAGAAATATGCAAGAGAACAAACAATGTGGATATCTGTGGGTAATTTCCTAGAGAGTAAGAAAAAAAAGCAAAAGTCTTGATATAGGATGCCTTATGGGTTCAAAAGACTCATGAGGGATTTGGTATTTTTTTAAACTTGTTGGTTCTTTTGTAGAAGTATTTCTAAAAATACCTGAGTAATAAAATTATCCATTTTGTATGAAAATAGAAAAATTAGGTTATGCCCAGCAATGTAGAAGAGCCTTAAATGAGAAATTTGGTTTAAGCTATGATAACTCTAAATTAGTTCACTTATTTACTTTATACTATACTATGAGAACATAGAGACCAAAATAGCATATACGGCTATGGCTTTGTATTTGTCTATATGACACTTTGAATATTATTAGTAACTTGCTAAGTTTGATTTCATTTAAAAATATTTTTAATTTTATTTAATTTTGATTGACTTCTCTCCAGACAACTCTTTCTCTGTTCTATACTTAACTAACTGGACATCCATAAATAGGCTTGGGTTCAATTGTTTTTCCAATCTTAATATTTGAAAATTTATTATCCTTATTAAGCAAGTTTCAAGATATGAGGGCGGTGAAAGAAGACACAGTCTCAACTTCACAGAACCGCTAGGAAGGCAGTGTGTCAGGTTTCTGTTGAAGAAGTATATGAAGGCAATATTGATAAAAGGTTGAAGATATAAGAGATTTTACTAATGATGAACTTTGAATTGCAGAGGGCATGGTGTAAGGATTCCAGGAGTTGGGAGAGATTCAGGGAAGGCAACAAATAGAGGACAATAGAGTTTTTTGAGATAGAATGTAAGAGATGAAAGATAAACTGAAAGTGAACTAAAGAGGGATAAAATATCTAACCATCTAAAGTAGCCTCTTTTAATTAAGACAGATAATCAAACTGTGAATGCCAAGTGCAAGAAAGGTTTCTTTATCTTAGCCCAGGTGTTGCTAGTTCACTCAATCTCTCTGGGTGGGAAGGACCATGATAATTTTGATTATGCATCCTCTATCTTAAATACTGTTAGTTGAATAAAGAACATATCTGTATTACACCAGGCTATGGACCACCTTTCACTGCACTTGAGGATAAAGATACTGCAGATTCGACTCTAGCCCTAGTGTATAGAGGAGTCTAAGAAATCCAAATAGTTTTGTGACAATTGAGTCACATATATATCTGAACCTAGCAGAAAAAATACTTTTGATTGATTTGACTCAAAGCTCTTTTGGAGAATTACCTTTGGAGTATGTGGCAAGTGCATATAGCATTTGAAATTCGATCTTTTTAACCTTGAGAAATGACATCACTCGTTCTGAAAATGGATTGCGGTAGAAGCCTTGTGATTATTTTATAAATCTGTACTAGACAATTTCAGAAGTAGTTTTTGTGTTTGTGTGCATCTGCTCTGAAATGATTTCATATAAACTTAACATAGTTCCTATTTTGAAACTATGTTGCACAAATACATCTATCACTGAGATGTTACAAAACATGCTGTATTTGTGTTTCAAAATAGTAACTGTCAGTCAATTCCTTTGAGAATACCACAGAGAGGAAAAAAGTGTTATTTTTTCATGCTGTGCTATATATCTGGTATATGTTATATATGTGGTCTAAAGACTGAATACGATTACATTCTCCTTATGAACTTTCCACCCCATATTCTTTCTAAATGAATTGAGCATTCTCTTCACTTAAGAAAAAGAAAGACAAATGTGAATATCCAAAAGGCCCTGAACACCCTGCACTAACTATACTGACCTAACTGTCATCCCTGAGAGCCCGTCTCCCCTTGCCTCTCTGCCTCTGCATTATTTCTTTGTGGTACTACAAAGCACCAACTGCTTTGTACTACTAATGACTTCCATATGAATATTCTTCAAATTTATTAGTTAAAATCTGACATCTCTCAAAAAAAAAACAATAAAAAACGTTCAAATGCAACTTTCTTAGAAAAACCATCTCAGAACTTCAATCAAGGTCAGATTCTTCTCTTTTATACTCTAAAAGTACCCAATGTAAAATAAATATGTATGTGATTCATTCATCTATCTTATCATACAAAACATTTTTGAACGTTCCTTTAAATCAAGTAATGTGTTAAGCAGAAGATAGACTGAACTTCAAAGTATATTCATTATACAATTTTAACTCTATAAAGGAAAAGACATAAACAAATGATTATATAAATATATAATTTAAAGTAAAAAATTGTATAAAGGAAAAACATTTTAGTAGCGTATTTATTGTAGAAGGAATAGCTACCCTGAGTAGGAAATTTTAGCTTTTATTTAACATATGAATAAGAGAGAAGGGAGAGGTAATGAGGATAGGGAAGAAGAATGACCTGTAGAAATGCCCTTGTGTGAAAGGAGGCGTGGTAGGTACAAGGGTGAGAAAGGACGTTAATGTCGCTGGAGTACAGATATTAAGGGTAAGGGACAGCTTGATCTGAGATGACAAAGTCAGGATACAAATTATTCTGTCTTTTAGTATCCTTAAGACTTAAATTTTGCTTCTTGATTTTGTCATTTAATAAGGTGTTTTTTTTTTCACATTGCTAATTCTACATCTCAGTGTAACATCTTAAATAATTATTCTTTCTTTTTAATTTGATATGGAGAGAAAAAGATGGGGGATAGAGAGAAAGATAGAGAGACAGGGAGAGAGACAGAAAGAAAGAGAGAGATGGGGGATTGATTATTTTGACAATATGCTAACTACCATATGTATATATTCTGCTTTTATAACTGTCCTAGTCTTTTTTCTGTCTTATTTCAAAATAAAATTTTATTTTTGATTTTTACCTACAAAAGGAAATTTGTAAAAACTTTTTTTTTTTCTTGTTTGTTATTTAGGTCATTATTTCTTTCCTAAGCAATGTTGCCTGAGGTTTTAGAGAAGTGTTTATGTTTGAGCTCTATACAGGGACTCTCAATTTTATCATTTTAAGCTTCTTTTGCTATTTCTAAATTTCCAGATTTCTTTTGCTAATTGTAATTATTAGCTTAAATTACCTCAACTTTAAGGTATATTTAATAGTCCCTTGTTTATAAATTTGCAAGTTAGTGTGTAAATATTATTTATGGCTATCTAAAATATATTTCCATAAAATTGAATCCACTTTAATTGACTTTACAAACAATCTTTATTAACATAATATCTGCATATACTAGTTCATCTCCTCCTTAATTTATAAGTACTGTATGTATTACTTACTGTACCACTGGGTGGCATAATCTTTTAGAGCTCTCTTTTATGTCATATATATATGGGATTCTCAAGTAAAAGAGTAGATATATCAACAGAGGTCCTGTGTATTCAGCCAAAAACACCTGAAAATAAGATAGTGATTTAGATTAAACAATAAATTTTTATACATGTTATTAAGGTTGACTTATGATCTACAGACTTAGCTTACTACATGAACTGGTTAAATAGGCAAGTGAGTACTTCCCTAAAAAAAAAAAAATTAGCTAAGTGCCAATGTAAATAACAAGAAGCCATCCTTGGAAGAACTAGCCAAGAGATAAAGAGGATAATTATAAATAGTTAATTTAAAATAAAAATAAATATTAAACCTAATTAATGATTTATTTATAAATGGTACATGGAGTTTTTACTTAACTAACCAAAGTATTATAAACATATTTATATATTTCTTTGGGTCTCCTCAGCCACATACATACTCCATCTTCTGTGGGACCTGTCCCTGTCCCTGAATGGCATGGGCTATAGTGCCTGTCTTTAGTTTTTTTTTAAATCTTTTTATAGCAATGCCATCTTGAACTCAATTGATTTGACCCTGATTCGAATTAAAATAATTTAATTCTCTCTTTTGGAAATTTTAGACTTTACTTGTAATAAGTCTGAATGAGTAATTAAAAGAATTGCCCTCCAAATTTTGGAGCTGAGGGGCAACCATATTTGTAGAGAGAAATATCTGATCTATAGAGAGACAATCATGAAATCTGGAAACATCATTGGAAACAATATCATGTGATTGAAAAGAGATTACTTAGCTATCAGGTTTCTGACAGTTTTTGAATCCAGTAACTGTCCATCATTTGATTTTGTTTTTATGCTAAAATCAAGCTAAAGTTACTCTCTGGAATTTTCAGACAGAGAAGGGAAAGTAATTTACCTCTGAGCATTCAAGAAGAGAAGGGATACAGACATGACAATGATAAATTCAACTGCCATTTCTACTTTGCTTTGTCTGCTAATTTTCATTATTTTCTAAGGAAGTAACTTTGAGCTGCACGTTTTCTCAAATATGCAGATGTGCATGTTGATTAGAAATTATGTTATCTATGGTGAAAATTTTGTATAGTTATATGGTCAGAATATGTGATATATATGTATGATTTCATACATATACATATATATGTAATCATATGTATATGTATACATACACACATAAATAGATATTTACATGTAGGTATGTTTAGTTATAAGTCTTCCTTTTAACAATATTCATCATTCATGAACCAAGAAAGACTTGTGTGTGAGGGTAAAAACGATGCAACATATGATAAATTCAGTATAAAAGCTTCCTTGTTACTGAAAAACTATATTAATTTATAGCTTACAACATGCATGATTATTCAGATATAAAGAAAAATGTTTACCACTTTTAAATGTCAGCTAATAGAGTCTAGTTAATAATCTAGAATAATGAGGAGAGTGTTTTATTATAACAAAAAGTTTAAAATATTTATTTCAATGCCATCTGATCTAGCTAAGTCAAATTCAAGTAAATTCTACAGTAATATATCAGAAATGATGCTGTGAACATAGTTAACATGGACCAAATGTCACTCTTTATTATATTAATAATAATGCTATCACAAGTAGAAAGTTTCTCTGTATAGCAGGAAATTAAACTATAATCTTATCTCCATCATCTCCTAAAAATAAATGGAGAAACCTGGCTAGTTTATAGTAATATGTTCTAGGAGGCCCAATATTTTATCAAAGATATCATTCATGCTGAAACATGGAGGTTAGAACTGTATCCAAGTATGAAGACTAGATCCTGACACGAAAGCACTAGAAAATGATAAGAAACAACTTAGACAATGCATCTTTCAAAAAAAAAAAAAGAGTCTATTTGAGTACAAATAGAAAAAAGGAAGAGAGATGTTTTAAAAACTTAAAACATAATAATAAAATAGTTTTGGATAAATAAAAAGATAAATATTAATAAGATAGCCTTCTGAAAAGGAATAGCTCTTTTTCTACTTAAAAAAAAGAGTAAAACTGAAACTAAAACCAAAATAACAAGCAATTATACCAGGTAAAAGCTCAAGCAAATCAAACACATTTTCAAAGACTAGCAACTTTTTATTCCAAAAATTTAGTAGCAATTCTATACTAAAAATAAACAGATATACTTTATTTTTACTTTGAAGATATATACTACTTTTAAATTCCAATTTATTTCCAATATCAAATTATTTACTTCTTTATAGAAAGTTATCTGTATTAAACTAATGTGTTGCTTTAAATGTAAAAAAAAAAAAAATCACTACTTCTACTAGGCAAGCTAGGTAATGGGGATTTTTTGGACCTTCTTTGGAATCTTCAACTTGATAATATGTCTGAACTGAAAAAATAAGGCAATAAGCTGTTTTAGAAAATAAAAATTAAAACGTGTGACTACAATTGTCGCAAATTGATTAGGACCCCTATATATATAGAATGTGCTTAATGAATTTCACCCTCTCTTGAAAAAAAAAAAAACTTTTTAATTCTATTATTAGAGTGGTATTGTCTTTATTTATTTTCTAACATTACAACTGACAGTTGAGAATAAAATTAATTGCACTTTTCAGAGTTGTTGAAAATTACTGACAAAAATGAAGTAGTGTCAACTTTAATCTTCTAAATAAAATTATAAGAGCATTTCCCAATAGTAATATCACTTTGTACTCAATGAGGACTGTTGAAGCTAATATGATAGTAGAGGAAAAATTTTTGTCTTTGTGTAATTTAATCATTATAGTAATAACATATAATGGGGAATTCTATTCCAGATTATTCAAACAAACCATTTTAATGAAATCAGTGAGAAAACATAAAGCCTGTTTTCCAGGCTTTAAAAAGTTACTGAGTCATTGAAGAATTACAAAGTTAAGATTTTTTAAATGGAGCTTTACAATAGTGATTTAATCTAGGATATGTGAAGCCTGATAAGAGCCTGATAAGAACACCAAATTTTCTGAGGGTGCCTGAGACAGCAAGGGCAAAAATTGTTGCTTAGTATCTTTCAAAGATGATATAACCTATATAACCCATGGAATTTGGGTTAAGACACAAAAGAGTTATACCCTAGGAATGAAGATGAAGCCAAAACAGATTGATCTTCACAGGTAATGAAACTCAGCTGAAATAATTTCAATCATTGATTAAATTAAGATGGCCTGGACCCATCTGCAGGGTGATAAATTATCTTTGAAAGAATATAACATTATTCTAAGCCTCATGTTATCTTTAAAATTTTTCATATGTTATCTTTTAAATTTTTGTGCACTAAGGCAGAAATATACAGGTATACAAGTAGTAAAGATATTGTGACCAAAACCAAAGAAACAGAAGACATTCAAAATAGACGAACTGAAGGTTCACTTTACAGAATTACTAGAAAACATACTTTTAAAACGTATATTTTATGCTCAAAAGAATAAAAGAAAAGATTAAGAATTTCAGCAGATATTTGAAAACTCTGAAATAAAAAAAATATGGAAATACATTAAGAACCTCAAAAGAGAATACAAAGAGAATAATGGTGAATCAAAAGATGAAGAGATTATCCTTTTTTTTTCAAATTGAATATGTATATCAAACTATAGACTCAGTTTACAGTATAAACTCAAAGTAGGATTAATATAAACATAATCATAACTGTGTGCACCTTAGTCAAACTGCTGATAATCAAGCAAAAGAAAGTTGTGAAGTAAGTCAGAGAAAAGACATATTAATTTTAAAGGAGTATAATGAACTATTCAATAGAAACAGTGGGAGTCAACAATCAAAATAATAAAGTTTTGTGAAATGAAGGCAAAAACTACTGCCAACATGGGATTGTTTTTTTTTTTCCCTGCAAAAATATTCTCCAAGAATAAAAATTAAATAAATACATTTTAACATAAACAAGAATTGAGAGAATTCATCAATGGCAGAGCTATAATAAAGCATTAAAGGCATTTTCAGGAAGAAGGATAATGTTACCAGATGTAAGCTAAGTATTAAAAAGAAGAACTAAATTGCCATTAAAATGATAAATCTAAATAAATATCAGCCATATAAAATTATACTGGTGGATTCACATTAAAAATTTATAAAATTAAAATATACCGCAGCAATAGAAGATGAGTCAGAAGGAGCTCAAATATGTTAAAGTCATTCAACTATCTATGAAGTATCTTCACATTAGTAAACAAATTAAGCAATTTATATTAGTGTTTAATATTTTAAGACCCACTTTGTAATCTCTTGAGTAACCACTAGAGTTACTAAAAAAAAAAAAAAAAAGATAATGACCATAATAATACAAGGACTAATAGAAAAGAAAGTATGACAATATAAAATAAGGAAAGAAAAACTAAATAAATAAATAAAATAAGATTAGAAAACACACGGGGCAAATTGAAAGAAAATATTAAGTTGGGAAATTAAAAAATAGGTAATTCTTTACAATAAAAATAGGTTATGATTAAAATGTAAAATATCAAACTATTAATCTTTTGGATGAAAACATGGAGAAAAACTCCCAGATCCAGCGCTAGGCAAAAGTTCTTATATATGACAACAAAGGCAAGATTCTTGTTTAAAAAACAGTAACTAGTTAGAAAACGTTAAAGGTGAAAACTTTTTGCACAGCAACAACAAAATATCCTGTTAAGAGGACGAAAAGATAAATTAAAATCTGAGAGAAAATATTAGTAAGCCATGTAGCAAATATTGTTCTTTTATATAGAATATAAAAGATACTCTTAAAACTACAGTGTGTACCAGATGAATAAAATTTTATGTTCAAACAAATACCTATACACTGATAGATAACAGCTTTATTTGTAATAGCAAAGTACTGAAAAAACACCTAATGTCTGTAAATGTGTGATAGGTTAAACAAACTCTGTTACATTCATACAACAGAATACTATTTACAAATAAAAAGGAACTGAATATTGATACATGAAATAACCAGGATGGATTCCAAAGGCACTGCACTTAGAGAAAAATAAGTATCAATCTCAAAAAAAAAAAAAAACTGTTTAATTCTGTTTATAGAGCATTTGCCACATGACAAAAATATATGAACAGACTGTTGATTGCCCCAGGATAGGGAAGAAAGTGTATGAATATAGAGGAGTAATATCAAGGGAGTTCCTTTGTGGAGATGGAACAATTCTGTATCTGATTTCGGTGATAGATTATGCAAGAGATAAATTGCACAGAACTATATATACTCTCATGCACATGAATGAATGTAAAAATGGTGAGAAATGAATATGATCTTTAGTCTAGTTAATAGGATTTATATGATGAGGATTATTATATTATTATATTAACCCTTTCTCTTAAGTCTTTCAATAAGTTCAAAGAGAGAAGAATTTTCTTAACATTCAGTGACAACATACTCATACTTGATGGATAATATTAGTAAAATCTTAATTTTGACCTTGCTAAATTAAATAAATTGTTTCTAAAGAAAAAAAAAAAGCAATCTAATAATGCTTTCATTTTAGGAGAACATTTTAACATTTCGTAAATGTACAAGAATGTTATGTGTGGTAAAATATTGCTTTTATTGTATAATTCAGTTGATATAATGTGGGTGTGATTGCAATGTAATGCATTTTTAGCATTTAATAGGACTGACTCATATAGAGCAAAAGGGTGTGTGAACCATAGGGTTGATTTTAAAATAGCCAGCCTATTTTCAGAGTTCTCTTTGTCACTTAAATGACTTTCCTCTCAGATAAGTTATAATTTTCTAGTACAATTGTCATAGAATTCTACCTTAGCACTTTTTCTCCTCAGTGCTTATCCAAATGATGCAGCTGGAATTTCTAATGAACTCGCAGTTAATGCCGCTCACCCTGACACAATTTCTGTAGACAGAATCCCCTTTTTATCATAAATGTGGACAAAGACTGAATATTTTAACCTTTAAAGATCAAAATTTTCTCGTCTAAAATCTCGTTTAGCAAAAATCTGTAGATATTACATTTAAGTATCAAATCCTTTGCTTACACAATGTCTGCAGCTTGAATTAATAGGTTCTTTTATAAACATTATAATACACTTCAAAAGGATTCAGAATATTCTAAATTCAGTTTTTAATACAACAAATTAGTACTCTAAAGCTCAACAAGCTGGAAAATAAAGCAACTCTTTCATCAACAAAACTAAAATATACATAATTATCTAAGTGTAGGAAGATAATATATATTAAAGGATATATAGTTAGAAAAGTAAAGGATGTGATGATATTTTAACTAATGAATGTAAAACTTGATTTTCTCTTTGAGAATTAAATAATAAAGCATGATTTACCTTGTGTATATAATAATTTTAAAAGTTGATTGACTGTAAAGGGAAAGCTCAAAGAAGTAAGGATGATAATGTTGATTGTTAATGCTGGGAAAAAGGAAAGCGATTTTAAATAGAAAATATTAAATGTGTAATCACATAACAAATATGGACTAGAATATAATCAAAAAAATCTTAACTTCTAAACAATATGAATACGTTTAATTTAATTGAAAAATAGAATGATTGCATTATTCTTTGTATATCAGTGTCAAAATTATTTATCAGATTAACAATTTCATTACTTCTATCACTAAATATCACAGCATTTCTTCTTGCTACTAAAGTTATTCCACCTATCTTTTTCCTTACTCATGAACAGTTCAATACTTGTGAACTATTGTCAAGTATTTTCTCTGTTTCTTAGTCCTCCATGTCTTTTAATGTAGTCTTCTTTCTTCTAAAGTCATTGGACTCACTTGCCACCACTTTGAAAACTTCTCCTCCAAAGAGAAACAAACACCACCACCACTCCCCACCCACACACACATCGAAGAAGTCTTACTACTTCACTCACAGTTTGCAAACTGTCCTCCCACTGACTTAGAACATTTTTTATTGAATATTTTATCTCCCCCCATTGCAATGTCAAAAGGGTCTTCATTATTCAAAGATCCTAGAAGGAAAAGCTGAGAAAATGTCATTTAACTGACAAGGCATTTGGGAAGCAGAAATGGGGCCATCAGTTATGGAATAGACTGACATTTAAAAAGGAATTTATCTTCCTTCTTTCGACTGTGTGTTTCTAATTGTTCTAATTTTTGAATGAAATTTTCGCCACTGATCATAGTAAGAATGGAAAATGTACTTATTTTTTAAAATTAAATTAAGTTGAATTTTTGTTAAAATTATCGGAGTGCCATTGGTTGATAAAATCATATGTTTCAAGTGTACAATTCAATAATACATCATTGTGTGTAAAATAACATTCAATACAATATTTTGTTCCACTATGAGTTTATTTGACAGAATTTGTCCTCTCTGTCAGCAAATTATTCACATCAAAATGTGAGACATGTATACTGCATTTCAAATTGATACTTACTGTAGTCCAACTGACCTGTTGACCTAGGTCTGTAAAATAGAGTGTGACAATGGAGGAAGCTGCAATACTTTGAATAGTTACATAGTCCTTCAAAAAAGTCCCACCTTAAATAATAAGAAAATATTATTTTAATAACATTTCAAGGCATAATGATAAATATTTTTAATATGAAACCAGTGAAAGCTAAGGATAAATTTTATATAGAAATTGCATGCACAATATATCTTTAAAGTAAAATAAATTGTGAATATATCCATTTTATAAAATATATCTAGCAAATTTTCAAATGCACAGTAGTTTCCCAATATATATAAAATGCATACTATAACCGCTAATATCCTATTGCGTTTTGAGGAAATGTAAAAGTTGATAATCATAATCAAATATGATGCAAAGTATTTTTAAAGTATAGTTTTGGGTATCAGTAGACTTACATTTCAACTGTTCTCTAAATAATTTTATTATAGTATAAATTAACTGGGGTAAAATGATTTCAATAGTCATTGCAAAGCATGAAAGGAGAGGCATGATTTACCTTTTTAAAAGATTGTTATGGATATTTTATGGAAAATGGAAAGAAAAGAAGTAAGGAAATTATTTAGGAGGAGCTCTAAATTCATCAAGTCGGAGATGATGTTTGTTTGGATTAAGTGGCACTGGTGGAAATGTTAAAATTGATCACTTCCAGATATATTTTAACAGAGTAGATTCAACTTGAGAGGAGAGGATTCAGTGAGATAAAATTGATCTTAGACTTTTGGCCTGAATACTTAGGTACATTGCAACCTCATTAACTGTAATGAAGAATATTGAGGAAAGCAGGATTTGTAAGTGAAAATTAAGATTCTGTATATTATGTTAAGTATGTGATATCTACCAGACATTCAGGTGGGAGCTGTCAAGTAGGCAGTTGGGTAGATGTATGTGTAGATATTCAAAAGTCATTAACATTTAAAATCATGGGGCTTAATGAGATTATTTATGTATTTAGTATAAAAAGAAAACAAAGAAATCTAAAACAGCTTTCTAGCAGTAAGAGAAATATACATTAAATATTACTGAGCAGAGGATCTAGCCATATTGTGTATTCAAGCTAATAAATTAGTATGCTTTTAAGGGGTTAAATATATGGTAATTTGTTACCCAGCAATAGGAAGCTAAGGCAATGTGGATCAAGGTAAAGAATTTGAAATCTAAATGGTCAGTAATGTCATTGTGACAATCATGTTTAACAACATCAAATGTTAATAAAGATAAAAAATTCTGATAGCTTTGAACCACTTGAAAGTGTGCCGAAAACATCTTTCCAATATACAACTATTGACACTTTTTGGGAGGAGATTATTTTCTACTCTTCTATCACACTTTCTCACTTCAAGAAACAGAGTATTTTTAAATGGAGTCTCATCAATAGAATATTTGAATAAAACAACTCTACAGAGTCCAGATATATCATTAATCATGCCACTTTTAGATTCAGGTATCAGGGACCCTTGTCCTTGGCCTTCCATGCTTATGTCCTTTTTCCTAATGGAGAGGAATATGTAGGACCAAGAGAACATGCCTAAGGAGAGCCACACCAACTCTTCCTAGATCATACTTTAGCAAATATATGTAAACATTCAGGCCTTGCTTTGTTTTGGCTTTGTCTTTATTTTAAAAAATAGTATAACTATGTTTATAGTTGTAATTATGATTGATAAAACATCTACCATATGTAAATCATTATAGTGTTTTATAAACACAATCTTATTTAATACTTACAAAAAATAAGTTAGGATCTTTATAAGCTCTACTTTACAAAAGAAGATCCTATAGATAATAAGTCGAAGAGTCAGGTTTAAAATTATGAGTTATTCCAAATTACCTCTTCTTTGTACCATATCCTGCTTGTCTCAGGCAGTTAATTGACTTTTTTTTTTTTGCCCCCAAAACGTTATCACATTTCTATGCAAGGACACTTGACTATACTTATTCAAACCACACCCTGGTACACTCAACCAGGTAAATAAATGTGAGGGGAAAGTAAAAATTCACATTTAATAGAAAGATTGAATTAACAGTAATTCCTCAGTCCATTATAGTGTCCTTAAAATTGAACTTACATTTGACATTGATGCCTGTGGCATTCTCAGTCTTCTTTATATTAGTCAAGTTGAGAAAACAATGCCATTATTTAATTTGTTATTTCAGCATCCATGAGTTGAAAGGCATATGTACCTGACACATACTAGGCCATGTAGAGAAAAAAATAAACGAGACAACAACTTTTCTATTTTAAACTCTAGCAAGATGGGAATTTGTCTTGAACATTTGAAGTTGGAAGAATTTGAGACCATCAAGAAAGTGCTACTTCTAAGAATGCCATGGTTTCCTATATTATTTACATAGAGATCTCAGAGAAATATGGGATGTTTGACAACAATGAAAACAAGCACAATATCTTAGAGAGATACACAAAAATCATCATTTCCTTATATAAATATGATATCTGAAAAACGAAAGCCTTAATATTAGAAAAAGCAACAGAAAAAATTCGATTTACCATTTTATGGAAACATTAAGAGATTAAAATTCCTTAATAGACGCCTCTTACAAATTTACCATTATGGACTTCGACTAAATATTCCTCCAAAATTTACATTCTACCCACAGTTGATTTTAACAAGTGCAAATTCAAGATCAAGTTGATTTGATATCAGTAATAATGACCTTTAGCAGGACTCATCTTTAAGTGTATCTATTTATAAATTTTCTAAATAAAGAATAGGATTTGATATTTTGAAAAACTTGAGACTTAATAATGGATATAATACTTCTTCCTCTAATGCATCTGTTTCTGTTCCTCCTTATTTCATTTATTATGTTTTAGAAGAAAAAAAAAAAAAAAAAAGAGCTAAGCTGTATCCCTGAGGATATATTAGAAGATGGAAGAAGGAGAGAATAGAGCAGTAAAAGCTTTAGAGACAGAAAGAAGTTAGTTCAGATCCTGCCTCCAATACATGCTGACAATGAATAGCAAAAATTATTTCTTTAAGACTAAAATTCTTTATCCATAAAAGTGGCGCATAAGCTTGTTGGGAGGATCACATGAGCTAATAGAGTCAATTTATTGCAGTACTTGTCATTTAGTAAGTGATAAATACATATTAGCTATTAATGACAGAAAAGGGATTCTAATTTAAGTAGATAGTGAAAGTTGATTCTCACCACGTTCTAGCTGCAGGCCAACTCGGGAAGGGTACCACTTAGGACCTATTAAATAAAAAAAAAAATTAATAATATTTAGTTGTCAGCACAAGTATAAACACATTTTTAAATGCATTTTTAATTCGAAGACAAATTAGATGTTAAGAAGTGAATAAAATGGTTGTCCAGGGTCGGAAATGGAGATAGTGGTTACCCTTGGCAGGGCAATGAGAAGCAGTAGTGGATAGTTCTGAAAGTAACATGATGGGAGCTTTAGGGTTGACAATTTTCTGCTCTTTGTTCTGCGTGCAACTGGTTATGTAAAATGTATTCAATTTGTAGATATGTACCAAGGTATGTGAACTATGACTTGTGCACTTTTTGCAAGTTATTTTTCAGTAAAAAGATTAAGTAACTTCATTTAAAACTGGAGAACTTTGATCTCATGTAAAATATATTTAATCTGCTCAGGTAAAAGTGAGTTATTTTTTCTATCAGGAGTAAGGCACTTTATCAGAATGATATGTATTATTGACTTTTAATATATGGGTATATTTATTATAGTAAAAACATCACTTTAGTATCTTCTACTTATACTATCATTAGGAATAACGATTATTAAAAGTTCTATCCGAATAGGAAAATCAAAACATCTTTATTATGCATTGCTATAATAAAAAGTTTGTTTACAACAACCAGAATGTCTTTTCTCTTAAAATAAATTATATGTTATTATTTTAAACTCCCTATTGAAAATTTAATTCTTAACTTTGAAGTCCAATTTTAAGCAAATTAATTTGATAAATAATGAATTGAAAGAAAAGTATTTAACAAGTAAATACTTGGTAAAGGAATATTCCACAATTGTTATTTTGTTTTCAAAACATTACTTTTTAGAGTGTCAGTAATGAGTGGTGATAATGTGACATAACTAGACTATTGCAATCAATTCTCTAAATTTACTGCTAAAGACCACTTATCCATGCAAATTCTAATAGACAAAAAATTCTCAAGTCAAAAACTGTAGTCACAAATTAAAACCTACTTAGCCTATTCAAAAAACAATAATAATATTTTAAAAAACCTACTTAGGATTACATACAAACAAAATTTAGTAACATGGCAAATAAGGAAGGCACAAACATTTAACTTTGACATTTGCTTTTTAAATCAGAAAATATGCAGAAAAAGACACTTTATTTTTGTTTTGTTTTTGTATTTACTAAAATAATTTTTATTATTTATATAGTCATTTGCTATTCTGAAATAAATGCTAACATTATTTGTTGAAAAGTATTTAGAGGTATATCTACCTTTATTACTCATACTGGAAATCTGCTGCCAAAGAAGATATGATGTAAATAAATGCAACAGAGACATATACAGTTTTAATTAAATTTCCAACTGTGGTTATTTGGAAAAATTCAAACCTTACGAGAATCCATTTATATTTGACAGATAGTCATTGAGCACCTGTGGTTAGTGTACATACACTGTTATATTCTCACTATTCTAATAACATTCATATAAGACAACTCTTTCAATAATGCTTTATGATGCCTTTCATGGTGGAAATGTCAATGCAAAAATAACTCTATTATTATAAGCAAATAGATATGTCTAAGAACTACATGAGTGAATACTAGCAGAATATACAATGGCAAATCAGAGAAGTTAGAAGCTCTAAACACCTTCGAGAAAATCCATGTCCTTCCACCTCTCTTAACATGGATAAACTATAAGTTTACTGATGAAATAACTTGGCATTTACAAGTTGTGATCTTTGAACACTGTGTCTTAGTCAAAGAGAGTTATTAACTGCCTATGTAAGCCTTTAGATTAGTTTCAGTCATTTTTTAAATGAACAAAACAAACTTTTTCTGAAACATTCTGTACTTGTTGGAGTGAGATAGAGTAGGCTAGAAAAATGGCAGAATAAAAGTCAGTTTATATATCATAAAAGACATACATTGCATAAGGATTTTTAGCATGAATTATCTAAAAGATCATTTATAATGATGAGCACATTGAACTTAAACAACTGGTTCACAGCTGAATTATGTATAATGTATTAGGTATAATGTATCTGTCAGTATCTGAAATTATTTAAGATGTGTAATTTGATTTCTGTAACTCTCATCATATTCAAACTATGCCTTTGAGTTCTTTCCTCAGTAATTGGAAGTGTTCATGTCACTATGTAATAACATTCTAAATAAGTAATGCCTTCATGTAATTCAAATATATTTATTTTAATAAGGTAATATTTTCCAAACCTCTGGTTGTGACCCATTAGTAAATTAAAAAATAGAATTAGTGTGTTAGTCTTAGTATCCTCATATAAAGGTTTAAGATAGGATAGGACAGGACAGGACAGGACAGCACAGCACAGCACAGCGTAGTATAGAAAAAAGAATAAAATAAAATAGAAAAAAAGAGAAATGGTTGTCATGGTGCTGGATGCAACATATTAACATAAATCATAGATAGGTTAAGTATTGTTTTTTGAACTATCCTTTCAATAGTTTCAATCATATAAACATATTTATGTTTTTATAAAACTAATATGCATTTCTTACTCTAATTCTTAGTCAAAAAAGTTTGAAATTCACAGGTGTAAAAATATATGTGTATATTAAATATTCTAAAACTATGTATTATAGAACTTTTACCTAAAAATCAACACTAGTGATTGAATTAAATCCTGTAATATAAAACAGATTTGAAGAGTTTGAATATTTGACTTCTTTAAAAGGATTTTTTAAAAATTCTGAATGATTAAGGAAGAGGGTAATAATATAAATTATATTAAATATAAATAATCTAAAATATAAGCCATTTTCACTCAAGTTCATATGCCAGATGCCTGCCCTTGTTTTCTTTTAGCCTAATAATGATTCCCATAATTTTTATTATGATTAGATATTGGTAAACAATATAAATTTTAACTTAAATGCACCACTCATGTTTTCAGAGATCTAATTTTAGAAATGATAAACGTTAGACAAGTAAAATATTTTATTTCTGACTTACTGATAGCATATATTCTATCTTTGCATATATGAAAATATAGAGCCAATTAGTCAAGACATAAAGAATAAAGCACACATAGATTAAGTTATTTAGTGTCATGTCTCATTTATAAAATATTAATTATGTTATTGATAGTTCTTGATTACAGATGATATTAAATATTTAACTGAAGCCTATGAGCCTATGTGTCATATTATTACTGAAAGAAGAGAAATAGATACAAAAATAGTGGAGAAATTTTTCAGAAATAATTAGTGTCCTTTCTAACCTAGAACCCTGAATTCCTTACCTAAGACTCTAGGTAAAACTTGTGACCTAACCTCTACCCTTTTCTTGATATCAGCAATTCCAATAAGAAGGAGAAGTTCTGAGAGCAGTTAAGAATTAAACTAAAAACACTACTTAATTTATGTGATGGAATATTTATAGTGGACCATGGAGACTTTTGGGGGAGAAAAAAATGGTGATCAATTTTTATTCTGTACTGTCTATGGCTGGTATTATGAGATTGGATGAAGTGTAAATAAAAACAGAATATAGTTTTGAGAAGTATGCTATGCAGAGCTGGCTCTGAACACTGTTTAAGAGTTTAGTGGAAGAAAGGTAAAGCAATGTTCTATAAGTTTCTATTTGGCTCAGTTGAGTTCCTCAAGATTCTAGAACTTTATGTAGGAGAAAATAAGTGAAGTAAAATGTCTTTACATGAAAATGTAAAATAAAGACATTACTAGTTAGACTAACAAATCTTACACTCAATAGAGATTTTCTGTCTATGAGTAGATGAACATCTAAAGGATCAACTTTGAGAAAAAGAAATTAATTCCAGGACTAATAGATGAGATAAACTAAATGATATTGAGCAAAGAAACTAACATATATGTAGATGATTCTATGTGAAATAACATAATTTCTCTATATTTGATTATATAAAACAATAATGATAATTTATATTTATATACAAAAATAAAATACTGGAGAACAAAAAATACAAAATGGAAGGTGTTTGGACTTAAAGCATTATGAATACCTTGTGCATTAAGGAAGAATGTAAAAATAGTGATAAACCTTAGATTTTGATAAAATACTTTTTAAAAATAGTTTTATTAGTAAAATTTCATACTTATATGAAGCCAAACTTTTCTTAATAACTTCCACCTATTTTCCTTATACTGTCATCCAAAGATGTATACAGCTTTCTCCTTTTCTGTCAGGTAAAAGCCTGCTCCAATGGGAAGTTCTCGGTATACAAAACAAAATTAAGAGACAGGCAGTGTCGACCAGGAAATTGAATGCTAAATAGGAAACATGAAGGCATGACCGAATGTCCTGCGCACATTGCATTTATCATTTTAGTTATATTTCTTTATTAGTTAGTACAGTACTGTTATGCTCTTTCTAAACAGTAAAAGCTTGAAAATCTGAACAAAAGGGCAGGCACATGAATTCTGTTTCTTTTTTCATAAGAAATTAACATCAAGTATTATTAGACAAAAGTCTGCCTTGTATTGAAACACTGGCTGCTAATTTAGTACTGTTGAACCAGTTTTATTTGTTAGAAATGATTCATTCATTACATTACTTCGCTGAAACTAAATGAACCATTTTATTTCCTATAAACCATTTCTTTGCAGTTACATAAATGCCACCTAGATAATTAAGTGATCAAGAGAAAATGGAATCAAGGATGCCAGTAAGATATAATATGTGTGATTGTGTTTTATATATGTGAAAAATAAGAGAACCATTTCTTATCTCATATCCAACAACAAAAATTTTTAACACTCAAAACAGCACCAACCAACATGTATAATTTTGCTGACCTTGAAAAGAAAATGCATCTGCTAGAAAGTTTGCTATTACAAAGTACTCAAATAAGAAAGACAGAGTGCTATAACACTGTATAATGAGCAACTGCAAAGCAAGTCTTCTTAGGAAAACAGACATGGTTCTAAAAATGGAAAATTCAAAAGCTGCAGATATTCAAAATTACAAAATAAAAAAGTATGAAAGCAAGAGGCATAGAGCAACAAGCC